GAAGGCATTACTTCATTCTCCTTCCCATTATATTGAATCTATGTCTTGGCATATTTTGCGAGGACTTCCTCCAATCTTTTGCGCTGCCTCCAGTGTGGAATGCTGTATTTCATACTCCATTCTGTATGCGATAGGGGATGTGATTCTAGATTATTCACTTGAACTTTTTTGGTACCTGCAGACTTGAGCAGTTCAGGTCCACAGTGTATGTAACAGATAGATTATGTTTTTGCTTAAAATAACAGAAGCTTTTCCAAATATTATGGGAAATCCCCACACTTTTAGGTGGTGCTAAAGTTTTTGTTGTTATAAAGGATGGTATGAAAGCAATTTTCATAATTGTTCTTTGTTGAGGATTATTTTATTCAAAATTTCCTTTGAACTTTAGCAGCTTGTTTGGAAATTCAGTCAACAAATATTGACTGAATAACTCCATGTACTGATCATTGTTCTAGATGCTTGGAGTTCAAAATGAAGAAAGTGTGTGCATGTAAAGTTTCTTCTCTATTGGTTGGCATGGAGATTTTAATGGAAAGAGTTAGACCCATATAAATAGTAATTTTCTTTTTCTTTTTTAAATTTATTTATTTTTATTTTATGTACATTGGTGTTTTGGCTGCAGGTAAGTTTGTGTGAGAGTGTCAGATGTTGGAGTTTCAGATAGTTGTTACCACCTATGTGGGTGCTGGGATTTGAACCCGGGTCCTTTGGGAGAGCAATCTATGCCCTTAACTGCTGAGCCATCTTTCCAATGCCCATATATATATATACACAATAGTAATTTTAAATAATTGATAATTACTGTTAAGTGGATTAGGATAATTAGGATAATTAGAATATTTTGAAATCACTAAGAGTTTAGAGAAAGCTTCTCAGCACAAAATACATTTGATGTAAAGGATAAATGAGGCAAAGATTTTATAGATTATTCTAGACAAAAACTTTAAAAGCACAATTATGTACTTAGAAATATATATTTATTTATGTGTAAGTGTATTTGTCCTGCCATGAAAGGGAGCATAAATAAAAGTTAGAAGTTTAAGTTGATAAATATTTATAAAAAAGAAATATATATTTAATAACAAAGAAAATGGCCATGAATTTGAGAGAGAGAAAAGGGGTGCATAAGAGAGGTTAGAAGAAGGAAAGGAAAAGGAGGGCAATGATGCATTTATATTATAATTTAAAACATAAAATTATTTTTAAAAACTATTTTACGATTTCATCTTATCCCAGCCAGAACAGCTAAGATTTAAAAAAAGAAAAAGAAATGACAACAAATGCTGGTGTGGATGTGGCAAAAGGGGAACTCTTTTGCATTGTTATATAGTGGTAGACCCTACTTGCTGTAATATTGACCTTCCAAATGAATGTCTGTTCATGCAACAGTAGAAAAACTATGTGTCTTAGTCAGTGTTCTGTTGCTGTGAAGAGTTACCATGACCGTGCCATTTTTTTTCTTTCTTCTTTTTTTTTTATTCTTTGTTTGTTTGTTTAACAGCCCTAACTGTCCTGGAACTCACTCTGTAGATCAGGCTGGCCTCCAACTCACAGAGATTTACCTGTCTCTGCCTCTGAGTGCTGGAACTAAAGGTATGCACTACCACCACCCAGCCATGGAAAGCATTTAATTTATAGTTTTAGAGGTTTAGTTCATTGTCATCGTGGTGGGGAGCTTGGTGGTATGTAGGCAGACATGGTGCTAGAGAAGTAGTTGAGAGTTCTACATCTGAATCTGCAGGCAGCAGGAAGGGAGAGAGCCTCTGGGTCTGGCTTGAGCTTCTGAAATGTTGAAGCTCACCTCCAGTGACATACTTCCTCCAGTAAGGCTGCACCTCTTCATCCTTCCAAATAGTGCCATTCCCTGGTTACTAATCATTCAAATCTATGAGACTGTGGGGGCCATTCTTATTCAAACCACCACATTATATATGGAAGTAACCAATCACCCTATTGATTGGATTTGAGGCCACAGGAGGGAGTTCATGCCGGATACTGTAGGCATGATCAAAACCCATAGCTAGGGAAGTTATAGGCTCCTTTGGAGAACCCATTGATATTGGAGGAAGGAGAGGAATGCTGTTCAATGTTTTCTCTGGACATGGCGTGGCTCTTGGTTGTGTGGCATTTTCCTTAGAATTGAAACATTCCTTCTGTGCATGAAGAGGAGGCTCGTGAGACTTAGGAGGTAAACAAATAGTCATAAGTCTGGGAGAACATAAACTTGGAAGATTCTTGGAGGCCCCTTGTCAGATTATTAAAAGAAGTGAAAGACTGATGGAGGAAGAGACTAGCTGAGCTGGAGGGAGATTCTTAGACTGGCAGCTACTACAGGCTGTGTAAAGAGCTCCTTTGTGAGTTGTCACCATTGTTGGAGTGGGCTTTTCAGTGATGCAGCTGCTTTTAACTCATCCTTGTTCCATGTGACTCCTCACCCATACTCCTGTATGGTGACAATAAAAATTTTGGTTCATTAAGTTGAACATTGGTATGATCTTTACTTTGATCTCTTGGGTTCCTTTTTTGGGGGTGAAGAGATATTTGTGTGCAGTGTTTTCACCCAAAATATGTCACAAATGTTGCTTATTTCAGGCATTTCATGTAAATGAATCCATAGAATGGGAGGCACTTATATGTATATTTTTCCGTGTAGTGTTAAAATTCAGAGTTCATCTCTGTTGCAATATACTATTAGCACTTTGTTTCTTTTTTCTCCATTCAGTTGATGAACATTTGAGCTGTCACTTTTTGCTGTTATACAAGTATACAAGACTTGTGTGGACATATGTTTTTACTCCTTTTAGGAATGAATCTAGAAATAGAATTGTTACATCCTATAGTAACTTTGCTAAACTGTTCTTCAAACTGGCTCTAGATTTTATAGTCCCACAAATAACATTTAAAAGGATCCAATTTCCTGTATTATTTTTATTTAATTATGACTGGTATTCTGTTGACCTTAGATCAATTTAGGAAGCATTGTCACCTTGAGACTATTACATTCTTCCAAGCCTAGAACTGATGTGATTTTTCTATTTAGACCTTTTAAAATGACTTGCAGTCGGGCTTCTAGATTTCAGCATAGAAGGAATAACTTCCTTAAGTTTATTGTATATTTGCTCTTGTTGGTGCTCCTATAATTTCTTGATTTTTTTGTTCTCTGCTAGTGTACAGAAATGCATTTGAGTGTTTTTTAAAGTCAAGTCTGATACTTTAAACTCACTTGTAGAAACATTTATCTAGTAGAATATTTTGTTTCCTGCCTTCTGCTGATGTATGTGCATAGACCTTACTAATTGTTAGGTTTTGTCTTACTCTTAAAGACGTGTTGATACTTTCTGTAAATTCCATATCATATTGCTGTTTTTTATAATGAGATTAAAATTTACTACTGTCACAGTGTACGTGCTACCAAGTGCCATTTTGGACATTAAGATTTAGCCATTTTCCCCCCATTTTCATTTTTTCCTTTAAAGCATGACATTACCTTTATTTATTTTAACTTCTTTATTAAATTTTTTTGGGTTTCACATCATATGCCCCAATTCTGTTCACCTCCAAGTCCTCCACATATTATCCCATCATTCCCGTTGCATCCCTCTACACTCGAAAGAAAACAAAACAAAGTAAGCAAGCAAACAAAGCAAGAACAGAAAAAGAAAAGAGAAAACCCATTAAATCAAAACAGAACAAAAAAACATACCCAAAACAGCAAAATCTCTGCTTCTCCTTCTCTCCTGCCTCTCCATCACCTCTTCATTCGACCTGATGGCATTGGAGGCTTCAGTGTGTCATATACTGTATCCCTTTGTCCCATGAGCTTGACTGGCAACTGTTCATTGCAATGAGTCATTGGTCTGGTTCAAGGCCTCTGGTTTTTGGTACACCATCCTCACTGAATCTTCACCAGAGCTCTTCTGGGGTATCCTATGTCTTGGAGATCTTGCGGATACCATTCTGCAGGACCAGTCCCTTCACAAGCTCCAGTAGGACCCAGATGGGGTAGATGCTAGGGTGGGTCAAGCCAAGGCCCAGTTGTGGGCCTAGGTGTTAGCCAGTCAGGTCAGAGCCACTGGGGCCACCAGCCTCCAGTGAGGTGGTAGAGTCAACTTCTCTCCATGCATGCCCTCAGGATAGGTTCATCCTCTCTTGCCTGTGGTGAGAGGTGGGGGCCCTCTCTCCTGAATTCAGGGGCCGGCTCTCTTGCTGTAGTGGGCAGTGAGAGGTAAGGCCAGGCTCTCCCAGGGCAGTGAAGGGCAGGACTGTTGTATGTGTAATATGGTTTATAATGTACATTCGCATATGCATATTCGTGGGTGCACATGTTTGGGGTGCATGTGCCTATGGATATGAGTGCTTGTGGAGGCTTGAGATTCATGTTGGACTCATCCTTGATTGCCCTTATACCTTATTCAGTGAGGCCAGTTCTTTCTGTGACACACAGAGCTCTCTGATATAGGCATTTCTTGCCAACCAGCTTGCTTTGGGGATCCTCTGCTCTCCAAGGTTGGAATTATAGATGGTCTGCCGTGTCCACATGGTGTTTAGTGAGTTCCAGGAGTATGAGCTGCAATCTTCATATTCTCCTGAGAAGTACTTAACCATGGAGCCATCTTCCTGGCTCCTAGATTTAGTCCAGTATTAGTCAATAAAAGAAATGGTATGATACAACCATGAATACCAAATGAAAAATGGCATGTGATAGACAGGTTGTTATAAATTTGTTACTGTAATTCTCTTGATCTTTTATGAGATCTCTTTCTTTTGAGAAGTTTATGTATACTGTATGCAGTTTATGAAGGCTATAATTAGTTTATCATTAACTTTATGTAGTATATTATTAAGTATTCTTAGTAAAAATTTTTATAGAAATTATTTCTGAATACAAATTATTTAAGATGAACAAAGTCTAAAGTATAAATATCTATATCAAATGCTACAAAAATTTGATAAGCAATTTTCAAGTCTTATTGTTTACTTATTTATTCTTTGTTTTCTAGTCTTGCACTACATCCTGAGCGAGTGTTGGTAGCAACAGGACAAGTTGGGAAAGAGCCATACATCTGTGTTTGGGATTCTTACACTGTTCAGACCGTGTCTGTTCTGAAGGATGTTCATACACATGGTATAGCTTGTTTAGCATTCGACTTGGATGGACAGGTACATGATAATTTTTCTCCTTTCTTAACAATTTTTGTTTCAATGCTTGCTATAAGAAATTATTAGTCTATAATATAGAATTAAAAAAATTGATAAAAAGTTTTTGTTTATTCAAAGGTGATAAAGTATAAGTGAGATGGGTAGATGTCATAGCTAACAAAAATAAAAACAACAAGGGGTATTGTTTTAATCATTACAAAGAACTTTCTCAGTCAAATTGTTCTAAGAGTCAAAGAAACTCTCATTCAATGGAATATTACCTGGTTGTTACAAAAAATTTTGTCTGCAATTATTTTGCAGGTAAGGTATTTAGGTAGTGCATATGGAAGATAACTTAGGAAAATTAAGTTTCTATAAGTAGACCTGTGTATATTTTAATTTTCAGTTACTTTAAAGTTGTTCTTTCAAAATTATCTTTTTATTGAAAATGAGACAATATCTGTGAGTTACTTTTATACAAAACCAAAGATCAAAGCAATAAATGTAATTATCACCTCACTGGTTGATTGGTTTCCAAATTATCCTCTAACAAGCCAAGACTTTTTGTAGTTCTGTATAGAAGCTGTTATGAATAAAACATATTTTTAAAAATGGTTGTTAATTTATAATTGTTAAATATTTTGTGTTTAAATTAGATTTTAAAGTCATTTTAACATATAGAAAATTTTACTTACTTGCTTTTTATTATTGTTGTAGATCTAGACTCTAGATCTAGATTGTAGTATGGCTGTCTTAGAGGAAATTATAGTCAGCAGATACCTTTCTTTTGCCCGAGGCACAACACCTCCCAGTAGTGTGGATTCCTGACTTTCTGGTAAGGGATCTGGGAAGACTTCACTGGAGCCTCTCAGAATAAGTGCCCTTAGGTTTCATGGTGATTAGTGATTGTGAAAACTCAGTTCATGCCCCATGTTTGCTAATAGCTTTCAAGTCCTTTACATTTTATCAGAATTTCACTTTCTTTCTTAAAAGAATATCTTCCTTACACCAAAGGAGTATAAAGCATTATTAAACAAATCTACAAAATTAGTTTAAAATTCCTTTTCACGGGTTTTGTGAAATTTAAGATGTTTTAAACTATAAGAGATCATGAGTATTCTTTAGATATAATTTCTTCATTTTTAAAGTTTCTTTTATTTTTAATATATTATATTGCCCAGATGTCCCTTCTACGGAGAAACTGCTTCCATGCTGTTTACTGCTCGGAAGCACTTCATCATGCTTACTTTGAACTATGAGAAATTGTGAATACTTGTATTTTATCATCTTGTCTTCATGAGGGCATGTTGTTAAAATTGAAACTTAGAAACCCAGAGATATGGAGTACACACTATGTACTTGGCATTTTCCTATACCTGCATTATTTCATTTACTCCTCATGACAACCATATGAAATAGATTCTGTTATCATCTCTACTTTGCAGAAAAAGACACTGAGACCGAGAAAGATTAAATAATTTGTTCCAGGTTAACAGCTAATGAGTGGAACCAGAGCAGGTACCAGGTCTCAGACTCCAAAGCTCATGTTTCTAACAATGCTTTACTGCCTTCCAAACGTTAGGGTCCAAGAGAAGCCCCCAAAGTAGATCAACAGCTACATATTCAGTATCAAGAGCGCTTTATTAATTGCAACATTGGGGTGGCTCTTGGCAACCCCTAAAGAAGGTCACAAGCTCCTTTTAAGCGGACTTAGGGGAACTCCAGAGAGCAGGGATTAATCTGGGACTGATTGGTGGAGAAGAGATTAGTATGGGGGCTGATTGGTTTAAGGATCTAGTGGTTAGGGACCATCTAGCAGCAGGGTAGGGAAAGCTATCTTTAGTTATCAGGAGACTGGGGAACACCTGCTAAGCCAGCAAAGGGGCTTTGGGGGTCTGCTAAGCCAGCAAAAGGGGCCATAGGGTACCTGCCAAGCTAGCAGAAGGCTGTGGTTTTTCTGAGGACTGTGTGTTTAGCTCTGTCCATTTTAGTGAACTGAAACTAAGGCTTAGATTTCTGTTGGCTACTAGGAGAGCCTGGTCTGCCTCCTCCCAGCTCTCTCATCCTCCCCCTCCCGCCACCTTGAGTAGTGGGGCATCTCATCCTGGAGATGCATTTTCCGAATCTATAGGCTTTGTATTGCTGTCTCAGAACCATCAGCTGGACCGTAGAGATCTGTGATGATCACCAGGTTTCCTGACCAGAACTTGTGGGACATAGGAGGCAGTGCTTTCTCATAGACTGCATGCAGTTCAGATTAGAGTTGTTTCTGCACCTGAGACAGAACTAGTAGGGAGGAAAGAAAATTTTTGGTCATCAAATGCAGCCACTAATTCTGCCCTAAGATTAATCAAAATAAGTGGTGGCCTGACATACATGATCTCAAATGGGGTCAGGCCTAGGGTGTAAGGAGAATTGTGAACGTTCTAGAGAGCAAAGGGGAGGAGAGACACCCAGTCACTGCCGGTACCAAGGGCTAATTTGGTTAAGGTCTCCTTTAGGGTCCAGTTCATTCTTTCTACCTGGCCCATAGTTTGGGAACAAAAAGCACAGTGAAGTTTCCAATTGGTCCCTATAGACTTGACTAGTTTTTGTGTTTGTTACCTAAGAGATGAATGCAGGTCCATTATCAGAGCCCAAGAGCACAGGAAGCCATACCTCGGAGTAATTTCTTCCAGTAGCTTCTTGACCATCTCGTGCTTAGTTGGGAAAGCCTCAGTCCATCCTGAAAAGGTATCTATAAAAACTAGAAATACTTATAGCCATATAGGCCTTTACCTCTGTGAAGGCTATCTCCCACTTGGCGCCCAGCCAAGCTCCTCTCTCCTGGTGTCCAGTTCTTGTGACTCTACTTATTGTCTTGACAAGATGGCAGGTGGGACATCAACTTAGAGCTTCTGCTGTTTTGGCCTTAAGGTCAAAGACCTTAAGATGTGCTCTTCTCAAGAAGTCCCATATTTTCTTTCTCCATAGTGAGAACCTTGGTGTATTTGTTGGACTAGTTGAGTGGCAAAGTCTGATGGGAGGATGATTTGTTCATTGGGGGTCCTGAACTATTCCTCCATGTAAGTGTGCACAAGTGAATTCTATGGAGCTCTTGGTCAGTGTAAGCTGAAATTCTGGCAGTGTGGGTGTTACCATCTTTGGTGGTATGACCAGCAGGATAGCTGCTGTCTGGAGGACAGCCTCCTTTGCTGGCATTAGCACATCTGCTAGGTAAACCTCAGCCTCTAGATTCAGTTAGCTCGAGCCTCCAAGAGGGGAAAAAAAAAAAACAAAAACAAAAACCACAGACCACGGAACAAGAAACAGAACAGACCAAGACAAAGAGAGCTCACTTACTTACTAGCGGGCCAGGTTGTCAGACACTCAACATAGTGGGTCTCTGGGAGGCTTCCCAGACCATGCACCAGTGTTAGGTTCAAGAGATTTTAGTGAACCAAAACTAAGGTTTAGATTTTTGTCAGGCTCCTAGGAAAGCCTGGTCTCACCCCCACCCAGCTCTCTCACCAAACATGTAAGTTAGGAGGTAGTGGTTTATCGATCAAGAAATTCATCCTTTGAAGAGTAAAGTTAATGTAAGGAACTTTTTGAAATTGAAGATAAGGAAATTATTTTAATGTCATAATTTGAAAAGTATATTTGAGCAAACATACCCATTTATAAAACTCTTTATGAGATAATGAGTAGGAAATATTGTCTAATGTTTTCATTTTCTGCTAGAATTAAAAGCATATGTGATAATTTAGGATTTATTCCCTACTAGGTAGCAATACTAAATATTCTTTTCCTAAAGGCTTTCTTTTAAATGAGCTGAATAGATATATAAATACTAGTAACCTGTCTTCTTGAGGATAATTAAGGCCTGAAAAGTCTATTTCTAGAAATCTGTAATAAACAGGGACTGAAGTTTCATACAGCAATAGGAGGAGGTAGTGGGTAATTTACCTTATAATTTACCTAAAAATATAGACACATATTATAAAAATATAGTATTCATTATTTTAAAAATCATGTGTGTGTGTGTGTGTGTGTGTGTGTGTGTGCGCGCGCACAAGCAAATATACTTGGCTGTACGGGCACGTGTAGAGGCCAGAAGTCAACACTGAGATGTCTTCCTCAACTGTTTTACCACCTTATGTTTTGAGGCAGTCTCTGATTAAACCTAGAACCCAAATTTTCAGCTATGCTGACTGGCCGAGGAGAGCCCGGCTCCACCTGTGTCTGCTTTGCAGAGCCGGAGTTACGGACCCATGCCTCAGTGTTCAGCTTTTCCTGTTGGTGCTGGGGCTCTGAGTCATGTCCTCAGGCTTATGCAGTGAGCACGTCACCCATGTGCCGTCTCCCCCACCCACAATAGTTTCTAACAGAAACATAAATTATAGTTAAAACTCTGTTCATTTCTAGAACAAGCTAAGGATGAAGTAGTTTTTAAGTCTAATTTTGTGAAAAGCCCACAAACTGGCACAAAAATAAAATGTATCAGTTTACCTTTGTAAAATTTGTAATGTTCTTTCTAACAGCAAAATGGTTAATTCTTATAGAATAAACAAGACCGCACAACCGTCCATACTAGAACTGATCCCATTTGGTTTAAATCATAATTCTACCCATGCGAAGCTGTTCTGACTGGGCACTAGGTGGCATTTTTCATTTGAACAGAGAACATGGATTTGTAAAGCTAATTATGTATGACTTATGGTAAATAGTGTTAATGAAGATATCAAACATTCATGTAGAAAGTCCAGGGGTTCCCATCTCTGCCTCCTTGGCAGGGGGTTAGCAGGAGTGTGCTGCCATACAGTGATTGTTTTCTCTGTCTGAGTGCTAGGCACCAATCTCAGGTCCTTCATGCTGTGTAACTAGCACTTCACCTACTGAGTCACCACCCTCATCCAGCACTTTCACAGACAGTATCTTCTCTTTTTAAATATCTTCATAATTTTTAGGTCCTCTGATGACTGACACCCTCCCACGATTGTTTCTTTATCTGTTAAAAGTTTTTGTTATATACTGGACATTGTGTGTGTTATATAATTCTTAAAATGATTTACATGTTGGCACCTTTAAAACATTTGAACATTGTTTTGATGGGTCATTAAATTCCTTAGTCCTTGTGAAAAGCTTAATGTTTAAATATTGTACAGTGGGAAGTTGGGGGACCTATAGTAGCTTTACTTCTGGGATGGCTGTTTTAACTTCTCTGCTAAGTCATGGCCATCCCGAGGCCTTTAATTAACCCATGGAGTTCCTTTCCATTGTAGCTATTGGGAATTGCTGTAGTACTGACCAGTTATGTTCTCAAATTGTTTGCCTTTAGTTCCCCATTAATTGTTTGTTTTCTGGAATTTCTTCTTTGTCTTAAGATTATTGCCCTGTATACAGGAAGAATGGTGTTCTCAAATCTCACCTGTAGACATATTTTCTTCAGCTTTATCTGTGCCCTGCATATTCTAGCCATCTTGTCCTCTGAAACCTAGGCCATTGACAGTTGAAATAAACAAACCTGTTGGTTGCTAAAAGACTCTACCTTTATGTACTACAATGTAGAAACTGCCTCTTATGTTCTCAACTGAGGCAGTTGTAAAACTCACTTTATTTCCTCCCCTCTTTTATCATTCACGGTGCCTTGCTTACTGTTAGAATGTTTGTTTCATATATATTTGTGCAGTTTTCTAAATGTTACAGCAGTAGTCAAGTTCAGACCCTGGTGGTCCTTCTTGGCTAGAATTCCATCTTCCATGCTTCTTACCCCTTTCATTCCTTCAGTCTTTTTAACACCTGCCAAATTGTGTCCTCTCATCTCTTTCTAATTTATTGAACTCTTCTACTCTTCCACTGAGTTTTTAACTTTATCTAGTTTTATTTTCAACAAGCCCTGTGTTTCTTTATATCGTTTTGGACACTTTTTATAGTTTCCTATTCTTTGCTCTTATGCAGATGTTTCAAAGCCTTAATTTTATTTCTCTGTGCATGTTTAGCATATTTTATATTGTTTATCTAATTCCAGTGTTATGTATTTTACTAATTGTTGGAACTAGCTTATCTTCTCTTACGGTCACATTTCCCTGTGTTTGTGCTAAATGTCTGGTTTGTTTTTACTGTGTAGCTTATTTTTATTTAAATACCTACCTGTTAGAATTCTTTGAAGGATGGGTTAAAAGTTGCATCCCCTTATGTTGGATTTATGTTGCCTGTTCCATGCTGCTGAAATTTCTCAAAAACACACCCAACCTTAGAAACCCTCTGAAAAGAATTTCCCACTTCAGGGTTCATGACCAATGTAAACTTACGTCATACAATAATGAGAAAGCTGATTCTGCTTTCAGATGTTCAGGGAGATTTTTCTTTTCTTTCACAATTGTACACAGTTGTTCCAAAGTTCCCTGTTCTGGGAAATTTATTCCTCTAGTTAAAGGCTGCAGTTCCAATCACCATCGTGGGTAGATTCCCTAGACTTTCTCTCTTACTCTTCTTTAGCCTTCAGTAAAACAAACCAACTAACCCAAAGAACTGGGGTAACCAGGCTTCACTTCATATTAAATATTTTTAATATTTACACTTCACATTCATAGTAAATATTTTCTTTCCTTCAGGATTCTCACCAAGAATCCTTTGTTTTTTCTTAGTTTTTCTTCATTTTTTTTGACAGTGCAACAATGCATTTAAAAAGATGTGTTTATAGTTTATTTAGAAGTTTTAGCTTTTGCTAGAGTTTGATTATGCTACTTAATGGATTTCATGGAACTGAAAGTTCTTACTTCATATGAAAAACTAAATGCATGCACAAATATTAATGGGATGAATACATCAATCTGCCTTAAAAGCTGTCTGAAATATGAATATGAATGGATTTATTTTGATGTTATAAGTAGAATTTATTTGCCATTTATAATGTGATAGTTATTTAAATTATTTTTTCATTCCCTCCTGCACTTCTTGAACAAAATCCAGCGCTTGGTTTCAGTTGGACTCGATTCAAAGAATGCAGTTTGTGTTTGGGACTGGAAAAGGGGGAGAATGTTGTCTATGGCTCCTGGTCACACTGACAGAGTGAGTACCTCCTCTGGGCTTTCTAATGAATACCTGGTAGGACAAGTCTGGTAGAGAGTTCAGGGGCTTTCGTCTGTGTCTTGTCATTGTCACATACCCACAGGTAATACAAATTGTACAACTTGTAAAAGAAATGGTAAAGTTATAGGGAGAGGGAGGGGGGAAGGGAAATGTGTAATGAATATTTTAGATGATAGAATTTTCTAAAACTAAGTATAATTACAGTTGAACAATTTTGTAAATATACTAAGTACCATTGATTTGCATACTTTAAATGAGGAAAATTTTTTGTATGTTTGTTTTTTGAGGCAGGGTTTCTCTGTGGAACCCTGGCTCCCAGAACTCGCCCTCGAACTCATAGAAAGGCTCCCAGAACTCGCCCTCGAACTCATAGAAATCTAGCCTGCCTCTGCCTCCCAAGTTCTCGGATTAAAAATGTGCACCATCTGGGTAAATGAGGAACTTTAAGATACGTGAAATATTAATAAAACTTTTAAAGTAAAAAAAATTACACAATTATTAATACCCATAAAATCTTAGATTGTAGGCCAGTGAGATGGCTTTTTGGTAAAGATGCCTTCATACACATGGACATAAGTAAATAAAAATATAATAAAAAAATCTGAGATACATATCTATCATAGGACTAAAACACATGATCCACTGTGTACAGCATTAGTTTGAAGCATGTCTGCATGCTTGCTTCATTAAAAACATGCATTTTTCATTTTTAAGCAGCTTTATTAAATTTAATATTTCTTTTAAAACTGCAGATATTTAATTTGTACTATTTGAGGAGTTGTATATATGAAAACATAAATTATTCATATTAACTTTAAGATTATGTGGTCTGTTTAGTTTGGTTTACCAGTATGTTGCATAGGTATTATAGTTAAAGGGAAAATGGTATTGCTTGTTTAAATTTAAAATTATGCTAGAAATGTTGCTGTGTGGAAGAGGGCTTGCTTAGCATGCACAAGGCTGTGTTTGATCCCAGCTATGTAATAAATAAAAATAAATAAATAAATAAGTTTAGAGACTTAACACTTTTTATTTTGGAAACTTGTGAAAAAGTGCTTTGTATATGTTATATAAGATTAATATTAAGAAACTTTGTAAAGGGGAGAGGGGAGGAAGGAAGGGGAGTAGGAAAAATTCATAGCTCAATAAAAACAATAAACAAACAAGCAAACAAACAAAGAATATTTTGTAGCTGGGGCAGTGGTGCATGCCTTTAGAGGCAGGTGGATCTCTGTGAGTTCAAGGCCAGCCTCTTCTACAGAGACAGGACAGCCAGGGCTACACAGAGAAACCCTGTCTCAAAAAAGAATCCTCCCCCCCTCAAAAGCCCAAAAAGGAATGCTTTGTAATCAAGATTTTGTTTCTTTGTTTTTAAGACAGGATCTCTACAGGACTCTGGTTGTCCTGTAACTCACTATGTAGAACAGGCTGGCCTCAACCATAGAGATCTACTTGCTCCACCCCAAGTGCTGGGATTAAAGGTGTGCACAACCATGCCTGGCCTTGTAATCGATTTTTAAATTAAATGCTTTGATTTTATGAACCTACACAAAATTTAGATAAATTCTTAAGTCTTTTTTTTAACCAGACTAGAATGATAGTCAGTGATACTTGTTTGTAAACATCTGTTTTATAGGAAATGTCATAAGTTTTTACAGTTTGGAGTGGTTTTTGCAAATTCTTTAAGGAGCCTATTACATGGCCACTGATAACTATTAAAATGTTACCATATCTTATTAGACAACCTTGTTCTAACTTACTTGCATCAAAGTACTTCGCTAATTTGTACCTTGAAGTTACAAACCAATTTTTGTAAAAATGGTATTGAATGATAATGGACTGTTAAAAATGTTGTCATTACTATATTAAAATTGCATTAGTGTAGCCAGGCGGTGGTGGCGCACGCCTTTAATCCTAGCACTCGGAAGGCAGAGGCAGGTGGATCTCTGTGAGTTCGAGGCCAGCTTGGTCTACAGAGCTAGTTCCAGGACAGACCCCAAAGAAACAGAGAAACCCTGCCTCGAAATTAAAAAACAAAAACAAAAAACAAAAAAATGCATTGGTGTGTTTCCATGTAATGTCTGTTATGGTGATCTGGTGAGCTGTTAAGCAGTGTCTTGTCCGGTGTACTCTTACTATCTTTGGAGAGCATCGCTTTGTAAAGTTTTAGAGATGACAGACTTCTTAGGTTAAATTATACAGTGACCAAAAAACTTAGTGAGGCGCAACCTATATAGCAGATCAAATGAATGATGGATTTTCTTTCATTTGTTGCTTAATTGTTGTTTCTATTAGATATTCTGATTCACCTGAGTTTTTCTAACAATGTGGTTTGTGTGTACTTTGAATTTACGGAATATTAGATATGAATAAAATCATAGGGACTACAGAATTTAAGAAAATGCAAGTTAATTCTGTTTGACCTATAAACAACGAGAAAGTTAAAAAAATGAAGGCTAAATATGGCTGTGAAATGAATGTTTGGATCTTAAAGTAGTTCTGATTAAAAATGTAGAAGTATTCTGTATATCTCAGTATATGAGTATTCCATTTGGAATTTTGCCTCTGTAACAATTCTTGGGCATCTACTCCATGCTCTAGTTCTACTGAACTACTCTTGTTACTTACTTGGATCCAAGTATTCTTTAACAACTAAAATTACATGTGTTAAATTTTACTCTATTAGTTGCTCTGTAAAGTTAAACAAAACTAAGAAATTGCCTTTATTACTTATCATACTTATTTTTTCTTATAAGATTTTGAAATGTACAATTTTTATCATTATCAAGGTTGCTATAGTTTCTGATAGGTGAGGATTTAGCCCAATTCGTTATTTGGGTAGGATTCTTAAATGATACTGAGTATTTTAATTTGATTTATTTGCAGATATTTGATATCTCTTGGGATTTGTACCAGCCAAATAAACTTGTCAGCTGTGGTGTAAAGCATATCAAGGTACAAGAAGTTTCCTTCTTTTGTAGCAGGCATTTCCGGCTCTCTGTGGCTACATTTGCGTCACACCGTTAGCCATTTATGGCAGTTACAGATTCTGACAAGACTTGTGTTAAAATGCCAACCTTTTAATACTATGCCTACTCTAGCAAGTTCTTAATGTATAGGTATTTTAAGACATTATAATGGTATAAGCTTTATAAGGGAAGTGATGAGTCACTCCCTATTAGGAAACATAGTCTAGCCAGATAGACTCTACTGTGCTCATCTTGTTTCTTCATATTTCACTTGCAAAGTAAGATATAAAAATAGGAAATCAAACAAACTAAGAGTTTTTCATCTGCAGAGGTAATATTGCCTTGTGGAAGCAACATGGATATCACTACTGTCACTTAGAGACACTTAACCTGTGTGAGTCAGTTAACCACAGTCAGGGTTTTTTTCCCACATTTTGCAGCTATGACAGTTCCCACCATCCTCAGAGTTGATGACTTAAAAGGCAGCATATGTTCAAATGCTTTTCATAGTACCCAACTAGGGTTGTCTTTTTCTATGTTTGCCACCTGAAGGGACTTCCACCTTGATAGTTACTGTGTATTTGCTTATGCAAACTGTAGGTTTTGTTTTACTGTAGTTAGATTTTGAAGCCTATAAAGTAAGTGGTGACTTTTTTTTACATTTTTATTGAAATAGAGTCTTTTCTCATACAGTATATCAGGGTTATAGTTTTCCTTTCCCTCCTACACCTTTCAGTACTTCCCTGCCTCCTCTCCCTCCAGATCCACTCCCTCCTGTCTCTCATTAGAGAAGAACAGGCCTCTAAGAGATAACAACCACACATTATGTTTATAGTTAGCTTTAAATCACTGGTGCAAATGCCAAATACTTGTTTCTCTTCTACTGTCTTATATAATTGCTCCTGGAAAGTTAATCCCTAGTGAGTGAGAATCTGTGTTCTGTCATTCTTTTCTGTGTCTCCCTCCACTTCTTCCTCAAGGTTTTAGGCACATATATTTTAAGCTTTGGGAAAATAGATATCTTTGCCCTTTTATCTAAGGTGATTTTTGATATAGTACTTGAAATATATATGTATATATACACTAACTTATTAGATATATATGTCATATATAATATATGCTATATTAAATAAATAGTTGGCAAAGAAATAATAAAGAGATCTTACTGATGATTATATTGTAAATAAAGCTAAAAGTTTAAAAATACTTATTTATTCTCTCATAAATCCTGTCTACAGTTTTCCTTCTTTCCTCTCTTCTCAGTCCCTCCCCCAACCTCCACTCTCCTCCAGATCCACTCCCCCTCCATTTCCCTTCAGGAAAGAGCACGCCCCCCAGGGATATCCACCAAACATTGCATAACAAGTTACAATAAGACTAGGCACATAACCTCATATTAAGACTCGATGTGGTAACCCAGTCGGAGGAAAAGGGCCTTAAAATCAGGCAGAAGAGTCAGAAACAGCCTCCATTCTCACTGTTACTAGTCCCACAAGAACACCAAGCTACACAACCATAACATATATGCAGAATGCCTAGGTCAGACCCATATAGGTTTTCTGATTGTCCCTCCAGTCTCTATGAGCCCCTATAATCCCTGGTTAGTTGATTCTGTGGGCTATGTTCTTTTGATGTCCTTGACCACTCTGGCTCCTACAATCCTTCTTCTCCCTCTTCCTCAGCATTGTCTAAGCTCTGTCTAATGTTTGGCCATGGGTCTCTGCATTGACTCCCACTAGTTTTTGGATGAGGCTTCTCTGATGAGGATTATGGTAGGCTCCAGTCTACAAGTATAGCAGAATATCATTAGGAATCATTTCATTGACCTTTGTGTGTGTGCCATTCTTGTTTGGTTCTATCTTAGGTCTCTAGGCTGTCCAGCTTTTGGTTTGTGGCCCTCCAGGCAGTGTCAGGTGTGGGCTTCTCTTGTGGTGTAGGTCTCAAGTTGGAACAGTCGTTGGTTGGCCATTCTCACAAGCTTGGCACTACCTTTACCCCAGCACATCTTTCAGGCAGGACAAATTATAGGTTGAAGGTATTGTGACCGACTGATGGCCCCATCCCTACACTGGAGGCTTTGCTTGGTTACAGAAGATGGCTGGTTCAGGCGCTGTATCCTCCATTACTAGGAGTCATCATCCTAGAATCCAGGGAGTTTCTACTGCAATGCCCCCAGCTCCGGTCATTTCTCCCAGTATTCTCTTCCTTCATGCTTCCCCTGACCTGATCCCTCCTGTTCCCATGTCCACCTGCCCCAGTCAGCCTGCAAAATCTATTCTATTTCCCCTTTCCAGGGAGATCAACATGCCCCTTCCTCGAACCTTCCTTGTTACTTAGCCTGCCTGGGTCTATGGACTGTAGCATGATCATACTTTACAGCTAATATCCACTTAGAAGAGAGTGCATAGCATATTTGTCTTTCTGGTTTGGGTTACCTCACTCTGGATGATTTTTTTTCTAGTTCTGCAAATTTCATGATGTCATTGTTTTTAAAAGATGAGTAATACTCCAATTTTATAAATGTACCACATTTTCTTTTTTATTGTTTTTATTGACCTATACATTTTTCTCTGTTCCCTTCTCTTCCTCCCCTCTCCCCTTTAACCTTCTCCCCAGTCTCCCATGCTCCCAATTTACTCAGGAGACCTTGTCTTTTTCTCCTTCCTATGTAGATCCATTTATGTCTCTCTTAGGGTCCTTTTTGTTATCTAAGTTCTCTGGGGTTGTGGACTATAGACTGGTTTTTCTTTGCTTTATGTCTAAAAGCCACTGTGATTAAGTACATATTATATTTGTCTTTCTGTGTCTGAGTTACCTCATTCAGTATGGTTTTTGTCTAGATCCATCCATTTGTATGCAGATTTCAAGATGTCATTATTTTCTGCTAAATTCCGTTACTCCATTGTGCAGATGTACTACATTTTTTTTAATTCATTCTTTGGTTGAGGAACATCTTGGTTGTTTCTGGGCTCTGGCTATTATGAATAATAATGCTGCTATAAACATAGTTGAGCACATGTCCTCGTGGTATGATTGAGCATCCTTTGGGTATATACCCAAAAGTGGTATCGCTGGGTCTTGAGGTAGATTGTTTCCTAATTTTCCAAAAAAATCTCCATATTGATTTCCAAAGTAACTGTACAAGTCTGTTCTCTCACAAGCAATGGAGGAATATTCCCCTTACCCCACATCTTCTCCAGCATAAACTATTATCAGGTACCACATTTTTTAATCCATTCTTTGGGTGTAGGATATCTAGGTTGTTTCCAGTTTCTGGCTATTATGAATAAAGCCACTATGAACATAGTTGAACAAGTGTCCTTGTGGTATGATTGTGTATCCTTTGGGTATGTGCCCTTGAGTGGTATAGCTGGGTCTTGAGGTAGATTGATTCCCAGTTTTCTGAGAAACCACCATATTGATTTCCAAAGTGGCTGTACATGTTTCTATTCCCACCAGCAATGGAGGAATGCTCCCCTTGCTCTATATCTTCTCCAGCAAGAGCTTGAGTTTTTGCCCCTAACCATTCTTACAAGTGTAAGATAGAATCTCAGAGTCATTTTGATTTGCATTTTTCTGATTGCTAAAGATATTGAACTTTTCCTTAAGTGTTTCTTAGCTTTTTGAGATTCCTTTGTTGAGAACTCTGTTTAGATCTGTACCCCATTTTTAAATTAGATTATTTTGTTTGTTTATATCTAGTTTCTTGAGTTTTTAAATACTTTAGATATTAGCCCTCTGTCAGATGTGGAGTTGGTGAAAATCTTTTCCTATTCTGTAGGATGCTGTTTTGTCCTATTGATGGTGTCCGTTGCCTTGCAGAAGCTTTTCAGTTTCTTGATGTCCCATTTATTAATTGTTCATCTGAGTGTCTGCAGTATTGATGTTCTGTTCAGAAAGCTGTCTCCTGTGCTAAATGCTCTTAAGACTATTCCTTGCTTTCTCTTCTGCCAGGTGTAGTGTACCTGGTTTTATGTTAAGGTCTTTGATTTACTTGGACTTGAGTTTTGTGCAGGGTAATAGATATGGATCCATTGGCATTCTTCTACTTGCTGACATTTAGTTAGACCAGCACCATTTGTTGAAGATACTTTCATTTTTACATTGTATATTTATGACTTCTTTGTAAAAAAAAAGTCAGGTGCTCATAAGCGTGTGGATTTATATCTGCATCTTCAATCCCATTTATCAACCAATCTGTTTCCTATGCCAATACCATGCGGGGTTTATTACTATAACTCTGTAGTAGAACTTGAAATCAGGGATGATACCTTCAGAAGTTCTTTTATCATTCAGGACTGTTTTAGCTATACTGTTTTTTGTTTGTTTTTCTATATGACGTTGACTATTGTTCATTACATGTCTGTAAAGAATTGTGTTGGAATTTTGATGGGGATTGAGTTTAGTCTGTAGATTGCTTTTGGTAGGATGGTCACTTTTACTATGCTAATCCTACTGATCCTTGAGCATGGGTAATCTTTCCACTATAGTGTTCCAAATTTCCTGGAAGTTTTGTGTCAGTAATTTTCTGGATTTAACATTTTCTTTGACCAATGTATCTATTTCTTCTGTCATATTTTCAATGCCTGAAATCTTCTCTTCCATCTCTTGTATTCCATTTCCAGAATCCCCTAAAGCTAAAACTTTTTTAGTTTTAGTTTAAGAGCTCATCTTCTGAGACTAAACTATATTATGAATTACATTTCTTTTCTTTTGGTAGCAACAGTGAGTAGTAAAGTGGTATTTTTGTGCCAGCAGTACATGCGAGGAAACTTAAATCCCAAAGATGATCTAAAATTGTACTGCCTAGTACAGTAGACACTAAGAGATAGAGGAATTTAAGCATAAGCTCAAATGAAATGAAATTTAAAATTCATTTCTTCAGTCATTAGCCACATTTCAAATACTCAAGAACCATATGTTTCTGGGGTTCACTGTATGAAATCACATATATATATACACACATTATAAACACATATATTTATCCATACACACACGTAGGAAGTGAGGGAGAAATTTCTGTTTTCATTGAGTTTCTATTTGAAAGTACTGATCGGGATTCTAGAACAGAGGGATTAGCTCCTGCTGAGTCTCAAAAGCATTTGGAAGCCTAGACTTTCTTCCTCAAAGATTGTATCTCTTTTCATCTCAGTGGGTGTTCAGGAATTGTAACTCTCCCCAGGTGATTCTAATGTGAAGCCAAGATTGATAGTCACTGAGCTGTAAGAAAATAATAGAATCAAATTGGGACTGGGTGAAAGGGCAAGACCAACTATTTTTGTGAATATAAATTATGGATGGTGCTTTTAGGTAGAAGTCATAAAATTTTACACATTCAAAGTACTCATTAGCTACATGAATGATTAAGTATCATAAATTTTAATTCTGTGATGCTTCAGAGTTTAAAATTTAAAGATGCAATATTAAAATATATTAAATGGTAATTTACTTTTTTATAAAATAATATTCTAGGGATCCAGTTTCTTTATTTAGAACAATTTCATGTGTAGATCTCTGCCTTACCACATTCATATTTTTTCTCTGTGCAAACTATAAAAATTTATTAAACTAAATAATAATAAGGCTGGCTGTGACGACTCATGCTCAAATCTGTCCTCTCCCAAGGATAAATTGGTTGTTTCTAATGGGTATCTTATTTTTAAGTTTTATAAACAGAGCTGTTATCAGCTTGAGACTATCCATGAAAATGACATATATTCTTTTTTTTCAGCCCTCTCCCCCATCTTAACTGTTTGTATCAGATTCAACATAATGTTCTCCCTACCTTTCTGGCACTTGAGATTGAAACTAGGGCCTTGCACAGACACTAAGCAAACTACCTTCAACTGAGCTATATTCCCAACCTTTGTCTTCACTTTCATTCCTAACTCACTCCCAACTTTTTAACCCAAATTACATGTAGATTTTTTAAAAACAGAGTATTTGAAATATAAGATCCTTTGTATTAATTCTTTGAGAAATCATAGAATTTGTGTATCTTGATCATATCCACTTGTGTTCCTCTCCCTAATTTCTCCCAGATTTATCCCCATCACTGGAACTCCTCTCACTCAGTGGTTGGTTAACTCCATAACATCCATGACACTATTGCACTCAAGAAATGACCAATGGTCATTATTAAAACAATGGGTTCACAGCAGGGTAAGACTGTTGGATATTTTTTCCTCCAAGCGAGTTATGTAACATTTCCTGATGCCATGAAAGGTGGCAAGCAGGGAGGAAAATTTCTGGTTAGTGTTAATCTGATTTCTATGTGTCCAAAGTGTGTTTTATCTTCAGCAATATGGTCTTACCATCAAGCTCTAGTGGGCAACCAGAAGTGGTGGGAGTAGCCTATATTGGTTTGGAGTATCTAGAACATATTAGAACATTTTCTTTTTATTTGGCATCTTATAGCTTCTGGGAGAACATTATTCCCTGAGTAGGGTAACTCCAGTTTAATACTTTTGTATCAAAAATACACACACACACACACACACACACACACACACACACACACACACTTAGAAAGCATATAAAGTAGTAGGTTTCCATATAGCTTTTTACCTCCTTCAAGTTAGTTAATCCTCCTCCACCTATTCCCTTACCCTTCACTTCCATCCCCTCCCTACTTAAATATAGCTTTAAAGGAAATGTTAGCTCGAATTCCTTACTCTTACAGATAAAGATTGAAACTAGTGACTAATCTGCTATAACAGCTGTGGCAACACAAGGATGAGGATATAAACATTGAATGTTATTTTATCATAAGACAACTATTTTAGGTAATTTCTAGTCTGCTGCCATAGTATAGCATCGAATTATTGAAAATACTTTACTTGGTTTTATAAGCATTATTTGATAATATGCTTATACTGTATACATTTTAGTTCTGGAGTTTGTGTGGAAATGCTCTGACCCCCAAACGAGGAGTTTTTGGTAAAACAGGTGATCTGCAGACAATATTGTGCCTAGCCTGTGCTCGGGATGAATTAACATATTCTGGTGCACTCAATGGAGATATATATGTTTGGAAAGGAATCAATCTTATACGAACAATACAAGGAGCCCATACTGTAAGTATATTTGAATATTTGAAATACTTTGAGATATTTACCTTAAGAAAGATACTTAACTTTCTTAAAACAAGCTATCTAATATAACCTGTTGCTAGTCTTCTCAGTTTCTTGAAAAATGTTCTTCTAACAATTTGTTTTAAGATTTCAATGAAGAACCATGTAATTAGACTCATACATATTTATTAACATAGTATAATTATCATCTTATTACCATTGCTGTAACAGTGTCAGAATAGTGGTGAGTAAAGTTTGTTGACTTTAGCCATAGAGTTTCTAGATTAGCTTTCGTAAAATAAAGCTAGTGTTAAGGCCAACTTAACCAGTAGGCAGTTTGGGAACATATAGGAAATTACCCAAAACCAAAACCATAGACACATTAATCCAGGGAAGAAAGAATTTAATACATTTAATAGATTAAATTGTTATTTATTTACTTTGTGTATGTGGTGTTTTGCTTATATGTATGTACCATGTATGTGTATCTTTGGAGGCCAGAAGAAGGCGTGAGCTTCCATGTGGCTGCTAGGAATGGAACCTAGTTCATCTGGAAGAGAAGCCAATGATTTTAACTAAAGAGTTATCTCTCTAGTCCTTGGGATTTTTTTTTAATTCATGAGATTTTCATTTAATTAAATTAGAAAAAATGTATTGTTAACAATTTTTTCAGACTGTTTAGCAGTTGAATCATCTCTCCTCAAACAGTGAAGGGGGTTGGTTAGCATGGTAAGATTGTCATCTGGAAAGAACCATGTATGAATTTCTTGCTGTAAGCAAAAATATCAGTTTTTTTAATTAAAGGTGTGGTAATTCTTATTATAATCTCTAGTATGTAAAAACACTAGTTTTTTCTTCATATTTTTCAGCGTAGAATATGAAGTGTTGAAAATTTTTGCTTATCTTCTGGAAGAAAAATGTTAACTTCCTTGATTTGTCATTTTTTATTAATTATCCTTTTGTCTTTTACTCTTGTTTAGTTGGTCGTATTAGGATTTTTGTTCATTCGTATATTAGAGATATGTAGTTTTTCAATATATACGTTTCAGGTAGGGGCCATGGGTGTTGTTCAGAGATAGAATGCTCACCTAGCATTGTGGAGTCTTAGGTTCAATCCTAGTCCTACACATACATGCACAGAAAAGTGAAAGGTTTTTCCTTTATGGTTTATAGTTTTTTTTATCATGTATAAAACTGTCTTATAACTCAGTCACATGAGTATTATGATTTTTAAACACTTATTTATTACATTTAGAGTTTTGCCTTCTAGAATTAATTTTATATACAGTACAATATTTAACTTTCTTTTGTTATATACATATTATTAAATACTGCCTCAATTCCATATTGACTTTCTAATGATGGATTATATTTTTGATATGTTATTGGTATGTTTATTTATTTATGTTTCATAAGAAAATATTGCTGAGTGGTTTTTTTTGCCTTTATTTAGTATATTTCCCCCTTCCCCACCCTGAGCGAGGATTTCTCTGTATAGCCCTGGCTGTCCTGGAACTTGCTCTATAGGACCAGGCTGGCCTTGAGCTCAGAGATTCAGCTGCTTTTACCTCCCAAGTGCTGAGATTAAAAGTGTGAGTCACCACTACCCAGCCTAGTAGATGTTCTTAAGAAGTTTATGTTGCTAAGTTGATTTCTACCTTCACCTAGGCGGGAATTTTTAGTATGAATGCTTGTGAAGAAGGCTTTGCTACTGGTGGCAGAGATGGCTGTATTCGTCTTTGGGATTTAACTTTTAAACCAATTACTGTGATTGATCTCAGGGAAACAGACCAAGGATACAAAGGTAATAATAAAATGAATGCATTATGCTAAGAAAATTGTGAGTGGACCAATGGTTGTCTTTTGGTGTACACACGTCTTCTATACATTCTTCTTGGAGGTTTTGTTGATAGCTGGGCTCACTTTCATGACAAAGGTTCTTTTGTGTGTCTAATGCCTGTTGTAATGAGACCAACAGAGACATCTGATAGACATTTACTTTTTTACCTGTGAATTTTGAAAAATATTTTACTGTTACATTGCTAAATAGAACTATTTGCCAAATAATTACACAACTGAAATAAATTGGGAATTGGTAAACTTTTGTTATTGATGATTTAAGTCAATTTTCTTTATTCAGAGAATTTACTTTTTCAGCAATTAGGGGACTTAAAATAGGCATAATAGGATAAATTCTCAGTGTAACATATTAGTTATTATTATGTCATTGAATTATAAGACTAAAATTGGAAGTAACACATTTAGATAATATTTACTTAAAATATTATTTAAATAATATTGGTGCCACTGGAGAGATGTATATAACTCCAGTCTAATTGTTTAGCCTCATCTGTAAATTAAAGCCACTATGAATATCTCCTAGTATTGAATGAATTAATGCACATTAGTTAAACTCTTCAGTACATTGTAAGCTTTTAGATGTTAGCCGTTACTCTTATTTTTATTAGTTTAGATGAGCATTATTCTGAAGCTTAGAAAATAATGTCATTCCTTTTCTTTTATTCTGAAGAGGATATTATAAGATATATGGTATCTTTATATTGGCAATTTTGTATAAAAAATAATGTTTTTCATAAGGGCCCAACAGTAACTGTGGACAATGCAGATAAAATAAAAGTGAATATTTTCTTTCTTTAAATATGTTGATAAGCAGATTTAAGAAATGAAATACAGTGAGAAGTCAGATTCTTATAAAAACACACAATGCACTTCTCTAAAGGCAGGTGCTGAGCACTTACCCATTGTGAGCACTTGTGAGAGCCTAACTACAAACACAGTCTGACTCTCAGAATTGTGTAGCAAGGAGAAGGAAAAAGTGTATCTAAAGATAGTTAGAAATTAGGTATACAAAAAAAGAAATCTATTGTTTCATAAGGAAAAGATTACAAACAATTGAAGAGAATGGGAGTGTACAGCCAGACTTTTGTGCTCTGTCTTATAATCAAGATATAAATGATATGAAAATTAATTTCCAATTTAAACTGCATTTTATTAATGTAGCATTGACATTTACAATATTGGTATTTAATGTGCTTTTTACAGGTTTGTCTGTGAGGAGTGTTTGTTGGCGAGGTGACCACATTTTAGTTGGAACACAGGACAGTGAAATTTTTGAAATTGTTGTGCATGAAAGAAATAAACCTTTCCTACTTATGCAAGGGCATTGTGAAGGTGAACTTTGGGCACTTGCTGTTCATCCTACTAAACCTTTGGCCGTGACTGGAAGTGATGATCGTTCAGTCAGGTAAGTAAATCATTTCTTAGGTAAGGGACTAAGCAATTTCAAATTCAGACTGTAAGAAATAGTATCTTACCAACTAAGAACATGTTTGTGGTCATACATCTTAAGTGGATTGTGCATGCTTCTGACCTGCCATGGTTCTTGGGCATGTAGATGTATATACACAAATAAATACGTGTAAAATTTGTTCTAAAATCTACCTCTGTGATGGTGTGTAAGCTGAAGGCAATGTGTAAACAAATGAGTGTGTCTGTGTTCTTATAAAACTTTATTTATAGACATGAAATCTGAACTTTGTGCATTTTCTTGTGTTTCAAAATTTTATTCTTTTATGATTTTTAACAATTAAAATTTATAAAATTCATTTTTAGTTTTCAGTCTATAAAAACATCCAGCCACCTGGTTTGTCCCAGAGGATCTGTTTACTGACACTTGTGATACAGAACAAGAAATCTTCAGTAAACAAAGCACTTGATGTTGCAGCAATGAAACTTTGTGGTCAGGAAAGACAGTGATTCACCAGTGTGGAACGGCCAAATAGAGATGATTGGGGCGAGGGACATGAGAGTGAGAGAGGGGAGGGAATAAAGGAGAGTCAAACTATTTTTGTACAGATGACTGTATCTGTAGGAAGAATCCAAAGAAAATGCAAATCAATTTGTGGAATTTAAAGGGAATTAGTGTATTGCAAACTCTATTTGGTCCTAATAATAAAAACCCAGAGTCAGATATTGGGGTAAATGCTGAAAGATCAGAGAAGTAAAGGGCCACCCACTGGAGAGACTTTTTACCTTTGCCTAGTCCTCAGATTGAAAGGGGGAAAGATCCCGTCTCCACGAATCCTCAGACTGAATGTGGTGAGCTCCTGTATTCTCCTGCCTTTTATTCCTTTCTCTCTCTCCCTAATTATATCCCTTCCTGTCTTTACCTCCCTAATGTTGGGATTAAAGGTATGTGACTCCCAAGTACTGGGATTAAAGGTGTGAGCCACCACTGCCTGACCTCTATGACTAACTAGTGGCTTAGCTCTGTACTTTGATCTTCAGGCAAGCTTTATTTTTTAGAGTACAAACAAAATATCACTAGAATAATGTCTTACTTTAAACCAGATTATTTTAACTTTAATGTTCTTATATAGATTATCATTTTTACAGTATACATTAACTATTTTTATTTTTGAATTAAATTGTATAGGATTTGGAGCCTTGTAGATCATGCTTTAATAGCAAGATGTAATATGGAAGAACCGATTCGCTGTGCTGCTGTCAATGTAGATGGAATCCATCTTGCCCTTGGAATGAAGGACGGGTCATTCACTGTCCTTAGAGTCAGGTATGCTATTAAAGTAGAAGCAGAAACAGTAATTTACTGTTTTGTTAGAATGTAGAGTACTCATTGCTCTTACCCACTTGGATACCCTCTTCTTTTATATGTGTGCCAAATAAATTAACATACTTCATTAAATGAACATACTTTTTGTTGGAAAATTAAACTTAAGAAGTTTTATCTGGGGGCATTAAGAATGCTTAGCAAATGTGTTGGATAGATGGCTCAGTGTTTAAGAGAGCTTCTGTTCTTACAGAGGAACTGCCCAGAACCCACTTGGTGGCTCACAACTATTTGTAACCCCAAGTTCTAGGAAATCTGACTCCGTCTTCTGGCTTCTACAGGCTCCTGCACACGTGCAGTACAGATAACTTCAAACAGGTTCACAAACATATACATGGAAAAGAAATATGTTATTTTAAAAAAGAATGCTTAGTGCAGTTGGTAGCTGCTATGTGAACTACAAGTTTGGGTTCTGATTTGCTGTTGGTAGTATTATTTTCAGTTATGATCCTTTGTTCTTAAATATCCTCAAGGCTATGAGAAATGATGGAGTAGGATTTTGTTTGCTTGTTTATATCTTTATGCTTTGAAAAATGCCTGTATTCTCTTATTTGTCTAAGTAGAAATGCTTGAGAAATTTATTAAAAGGCTGGGCATAATGACAATGCCATTAATCCCAGCACCAGGAAGCAGAGACAGGTGAATTGCTGTGAGTTTGAAGCCAGCCCAGCCTACCTACTGAGTTCCAGCCAGCCAAGGCTGTATAGGTTATAGACCCTGTCCCAAACAAACAAACAGAATTTGTTAATGCTGTATCTAATTTATGTTGAATTACATTGAGTTCCTGTCCTTTGTCGTCATTAAAAACAGTACTGTAGAGCCACAGCATGTTCACAGATCAGTGTTTATGAAATCTTTCTCCTCCATCTCAGTAATCCTCTACCTAGAATTTTTTTTAATTAATTTATTTATTTATTAAAGATTTTTGTCTCGTCCCCACCGCCGCCTCCCATTTCCCTCCCCCTCCCCC